TTTTTTTTTTTTTTTTTTTTTTTTACTTCAGACCTAATAAATGCAATGCAATGTCCAAATGTATAGCCATTCTGTTTGCTGTGTGCACTAATTCAACAATAATGTAAAGGAACTGTTAACCTAAACAAAATTAAATCCTGTAAATGTGTTCCAAAACAACATAGGACACCACTGACTTTCATAAAACAAACCAAATAAAAAACTTTTTCAATATACAGTATATATATATATATATATATATATACAGAAGAAAGAATTGTTTGTCAATGTGCTAACAGCTGTTTGAATAACTGTCACTAAATGCTTTTAAATGGCACCCCTGACAATCTGATGATAAGCTATTAAAAACTCACTTTATAATAATTCCAAACACTGGCCACACCTGTTTGAATAGATCATTAGCTGTAAACCTGTTTGATTCTGGCAATTAGTGTTATGTTTTTTTTAGTCTGCACTGGTTGTATGACTGCATTTGTCAGGATTTACTAGGAAAATTCATCATATATTATCAACACCTTTTTGTAAATCATCTAAAGTGGCCTTCAGGCATGCCTGTGGTAGAGCTTCCCACGTCTCGTGCATGCCATTGCCATGAGTTGTACAACCAAAGTGCAAGCAAGAGGCAAGGATAGACGTTTTGGAACGACACCTAATTGCCCACGGTGACCTGCTGATTGATAGTGAGGCGCCACGGCGGGAAACTGAGCAGAAATATGCGGCGAGTTCCGAGCCTCTCTCTAGCCTCAGGGCGCGCATGATGATTATTTCACGTGTATCCGTATCTGAACGGCGCTCTGACAGTGAGGGTGAGAGGTCGCCAAAATCCAAATCAAAACCCGCTTAATATCCGAGTCTACAACGGATTGATGCTCCAGATTACTATGCCGGCTTGATGGAATTGTTGCCAAGAAAAGCATGGCTTCTAAAAGGATACTTACACGTGCATTCTTCAAAACTGAAACCTTTTAAACTTGACCAAAATATCGCCACTTGTTCACTCGCTTAAGTTTAAAACATGTCCAATACAAAACGTATTTTTTTTCCAATATAAATTATGACGTTAAAATCCATTTATTTAACGATATCCTCTATTGATGTAGTATTAGAAGGGATGTGAGAGACCGTATGCTTGTCTTTTTACAAAAAGAAAGATATAAATACGAGTTTTAGGTAAATGCGCAAAGTACACATTGTTCCAAACATGAAAATAAAGAGCAAAAGTTAATTTCCTCAGAAACTTCACAGGTGATTTAGACATAATGACCACAAAAGCCGTTTTTCTGGCCACATATTTTGATAATCTGCCTGTTTCTTAAGGTCCCCAGCGGTGAAAGCCTGTGTTTAACGTACAAGCGCCCGTTTTTCTTTTGAACGCACTGAACCTTGAAAAACAGGTCAATTGATGTAGCAAATGTGGTATCAGCGACAGTTCGTAGACTAAACACGGTTTCATAAGTGCGAACAAAAACGAGCCATTTAAGCAGCAAGAAAAACAATAATCTGAAAACAATAACAGCTGACAGTTTATTGCGACGAATAATAACGATTATAGATAGACTGGGCTATGCTACTCTCATTTGAGGCGAATAGCTAATTGAGTGGGAGAAAACTGTTCATTTTTGTTTCAATGAAAATATCATTATTTACATATCGCTTGAGAGTTAAAAAGACGGTTAGTAGGACAGAAATAAACTATTTACGCGGTAACGCAACAACGCTCATAACTAAAACAGGTCTTCAGCATTTTTTTCAGCAGCAGTGAACTGCTAAAGCTTTCATCACCACACATCCATAACTTATGCTACTTGTATGACAAACAGCCGTTTTCCGTTGCCAAGGTAACGTCAAACCTTATTCTCTTCAATGCAAGGCGCAGCGGACTTCTTGAACATCTTACCCGAGCAATTCCATCCAGTTGGAGTCTGACAGTCGCTGAGAGAGGACGGGAAAGCGCCAAGTTGTTGCACCGGGAAGGTGGCGAGAAAGGACAAGACTGCAATCCATACCCAGTGACCCACTATCCGGCTCCACTGGTGCGGACTTCGGGGCTCATGTAGGGCCGCCGCCACCGTGACACCCATCTCAGTTCCCCCGACACTGCTCACAGACGCGCAACGCCAGCCCTGGTCTTAATGTTGTCAACTTTGCCGGTGCGCTTAGAAGCCAAGAGAGGGACATTTTCCGACGGAAGGAGTGTGCCCCATGAAGCAGTTGTTTCTGGATGACCAGAGCGAAGATCCGCCCGAAGCGAGAGGGTGCAGATGCGGAATGAGAGAGGTCTGGGTGCGATGGACAGGGGAGGAACGGTATCGGGAGGGAAGTGGGTAAGCGAGATGTTCAAAAAGCAAAAATCAAAAGACGAGAGGGGTGTTTTTAAAAAACCGAAATGGGGCACAAAATCATATATCCCATTTGAGTGACATGCCGAAGTTACAACATCCACTGAAGCGCTGCTTAGAGAGACTGCCCTCCGTCCTCAGTCCGTGCGCTCGCGGAGAGCCGTGAGTTTGTCAGAGTCTCGCGAAGAGCCATTCTTCTGTAGCCTACCTGTGAACCACAATAACGCACTGAAGGCGAGCTGCAGGTTTCCAGACCGCTTCGGATCACGTGTTCTCAAGGAACCGGGAGGGGCGGGACGATGCCGCGGCTCTGATTGGTCGAGAGGGATGCAGGAGTGTCAGGAGCGAGGCGATGGTCCAGCTCGAGCATATCGACGGCCAGTGCAGAATAGTGTATGTACCCTGTAGTCGACTTTAGCAGGGCTTTGGTTTTTAAACGCGTGGGCGAATGGCCATGCCGAGAAAGTCTTCTCAGTAATTGAGCACTGCTGCTCTGAGCACGATGGCAGCAGAAATCGATTGGAAACTTGCAGTGCTGTGAAATGATCCCCGTATCCTAAACAAAAGACTTACAGCATTAGATGAGAGAACCGAGGGACGAGTTCACGACTGTCTGCGTGTAAGACGCTAGTGGATAATCTCGGCGGTGGAAATAGATATGCAGAGACGCTTTAATGGATACAGGTCGCGAGCTGAGCATTAGAGATGGCTTTTTAACGACATTTAATGACGCAACATGTCTCAGAAAAGCTATTTTCGCAAGGTGTATCGACGATGATAAAAAGCAAGCACATTTCATGTTATCGACTTACACAAAGTAGGCTACAGCTGATCTCTTAATCAGTCCAATAACGCAGGCTACTATGCGTGTTGTTGCACCCTAAATAGCTATAGGACTATACACGAAACCTTAATACCTGAGCAAACTTGAACGGAGTGCAACAAATGTTTTTTTTTTATTTTTATATAAGATCTACTGTGTCTTATTTATTTCTTGCTGATTCTTAGAGAGGTAAAGTTAAAGACTAACCCCCAGAGAGAGGCACAGGGAGAAAAGCACAAAATATTTGTACCCTTATGCCTCATTTAAAATGTGACATTATATAACAAAACATCACAACAAACACATTTATCAAAAAAGAAACTTGAAGAAAGCATTTATGACTGAAACGTGTGTTTGCAGCCAATTATTTGTAAAACGTGTTCTATTCTGAAATAGCCAGCTGAACAAAGGATTTTTAATAACTTTTGAAGTGTGCCTTGGACGCCCACCACCCCACATAGCATTTCGTTTGAAGTGTGTCTGTACACAGGCACAGTTTTTAAGCAAAAGATTTAAAAACGTTGATTGATTATAGATTGATAGCTATGGTTTGATATTTTATTTCATGCAATTAAATGTGTTTTTGGTGCTTAAGTGTACAAATACTAGGTACAAAAACCACTGTACCTTTGTTTGACTGTTTCAAAAAGTGTCCATCCCTATGAAAGATTTAATTAGTCTGATTGCCAAAAAGCCCAGTTTTGGTCTTATTGGACCGTAAAACCTTCTTTCAGCTGGATTCAAAATTCTCCAGAAGTCTTCTGATAATCTGTAGCCAAGATTTTTAACAGTGGTTTTCTCTTTGCCACTTAATAAAACTGCGAGTGGTGAAGCATCTGGGCCACAGTTGTACAATGCAGAGTTTCTCCAGACTCCTTCTGTAATTCCTTTAGATTTGTCACTGGTCTCTTGTCTTGGTGGCCTCCCTTACCAGTCTCCTTCTTAGTTTTTGAGGATTTACCCACCCTCACTGTTACAAAATAGTTTGACTGACTTTCTTCTGTGTAAAACAAAAATACAATAAATGTTTATACAACTCATTCTCACAAAATGAAAGCAGCATTGATCAGGGTTCTGAAAAGCATCATAGAAGTTGTCCAGACTTAGTGGTTTAGGTTTGGTTACAAGACAGAGGAGAACCGGAGGCGTTTGATGTTACTGACACCAAATCTATGGAAGGCAATTTCATATAGAATGGTTTTAGTCTTTGAAAGCTGCAGATGGTTTTTTTTTTTTTTTTTTTTGGTGTTTTTAGTCCTTACAGGGTTAGAGGTACAACATTTTCATCTTTGGGTGAATTCTTCTTTTCCCAGAGCTTTTTAACTCGCTGGCCTTTATGAAAACGAATACTCTGTTTATTTTTTTTTACTAATGTAATTCATTCTGAAAGCTGTTTGAGTGCAGAATAAATGATGACAACATGCTGACATGACTCATCGATCAAATTCATGTCAGCAAATAAAAAAGATGAACAAACTCAAATCTTTATTTTTATTTTTTTTACAAATGTTGTCATACAGTATGTGTTTCCCAATAAGACGTCTTTAGTTACTTGCGTGTTTTCTCTTTAAGTGAAGAGCACATTTGGAAAAAAGGTTTGAAACCTATTGCTTGAACAGTATGAAGTTGGACTTCTGGGCATGTCCTCGAGATAAATTACGATATACTCTCCACTGTTCATTTCACTACTACCTGATCATTCCCACATTTCTCCTGGAGTCTGGCTCCACACCAGCTCAGAATTATTAGCATGGTTCAGAGCTCCTCTGGAGAGCAGCTGGCTCTAGGCTATCACCGGCAGACACTCTTGACAGATAAAACAACACACCCTTGCCATAGGATTTCTGTAGTTTTCTCAATGCGGTATCATGTATCACATGATGGATCTGACCTTGTAATTACGACTATGGAACATTAATTAATCATTCAGTTTTGTAGGAGGCATGGGAAGGTTCATGTCCTTTATAGGACCTGTTCAGAAATAGGAAGAAAACTGATAAGAGATACTCAAACCAACAGCAATGTTAAAAAGTGGAGTTTTGGAATGACTATATTGCATTTTTATGACAATTATTTAATTGGAGTTGAGACTTGACATCTTTATTGCTATTAGAGCCATATGAATAAACACCTTTAAAAAGGTGTCTTGGCAAGTCTCCCTCAGCTACTTTTAGTAATTTAGTATAGCAAAAAAATATTCAGGATCAATGAACACCAAGAATTCAACATTTTCAAAGGAATATATACGGTATAATGGGGGTTTAATTAAGAGTATGAACAAGTAATGGTGTCAAAGATAAAACGATAAATTAAATTTAGACTAAGCTTTCTTTAACCTGGACTTATTTCACAGTCCCATCCTCAGTATATTCTTCCCGTCAAAGGTAAAAGCACATTTACTGTATTTGTGGGCCACTGTTCAGTCCCAGCATTGGTTTCTGCATTACAACTGTCCCCATTCCACCCAGTTAGATCCATACCTTTTTTAAATCATTTACATCATATCAAACATGTCATCTCTCACCCGGACTGGAAAAACCCCCTGTGGAACATACTTGGAGAGTTGACATGGCAACTGGAGCCTCATGGTTTCATTATATGTAAGTCTTTGCTGGAGTATGGTGAGCAGGGTAATGAGGAAGGCTGCCTGGGAACTGGTGAGAAGGTCACATCTCTGGAGGGAGCATGTGGTGTTTGAGTCTTCTAGCAGCATGGGATCTGTTAATGATGCAGGAGTTTTAAAATGCTCCCTTAAGTTCTACTGGTGCTTTGGTAGCCCTGCTGAAAAGCTCTTCTCTTTATCTGTGCATGTAAAATAAATGTCAAGCATATCATGTTAATAAATTATGGATATTGATCTTTTTTACATGGGATCATTTAAGAATGTATTTTCTGATATTACTCTATAAAATGTTAAATTCTTAAATTCATACCCAAGATGCCTGTAGTTTGATATTATTAATAATTCCCATTAGAACAATAGCTCAGTAAGGAAAATTGTAAATCACTCATTACATAACAGTTGTGCCACAGGCATGCAATCTATATTCCATAGACTCTAAGTGAATAATGTAGTTATTTGGAGATATTTCTGAATTAATTGATTCGTTTTCACAGTTGAACTCCTGCTTACAAGCTGAACAGTGTTCTTTTTTTTTTTTTTACTTATTCCCTCATAATACAGAGTCGACCAGATGTTTTTGTTCTCTGCTGCTGGATATTGCACACACATTTCAGTACAGCTGTGGATTTTCTCAGCAGTAACAAATTGATTGCTATCCTCCTCCTTGGACATCCCAGACAAATGCTAAGAAAATGATATGTCTGGTTGGGGATATTTATGAATTCACTGATTTACTTCCACTTTTGAACTGCTCAATGCAACAAGCAAAACCAACTGTTGCCAAATAAGAAAATTCCCAGGGTTGTTGAATAGAATACAAGTTTGATATTAACTCTTATTAGTGATGTAACTAATATAAGCAATTAATTTGCTCAAAACAAACATTATTTACTCTTGTTTGAGAGACCCTCTTCCTGAAATATAAAGGCAGCTAGCTATATACATTTTCTGTATAAATATTTTCCAGTTAAAATGTTTCTTTCTATTATTAGGGTGACACTGCTTTTTATTCACAAATAGAGTAGTGAAGAGAAACATAAAACTACGGCTGGCTGTCATTTACATGTATATACACATGCATAAAATACATTTTACCCGGTTTCTGACCGGTCTTAAAAAGGAAAGAAACAATTAAAATAAATATGAACGTTAAGGCTGTGATACACCAAAGTGGCATCAAAGAATTAGTGGTGACAAAAGCTTATTGAGTTTTCGCCTCCCGTTATGTGTGTCTGGGCTAAAAAGTTGCACTTGAACACACTGCAAATGTCTACAACCAACGGCCAAGGATGTACATTTTTTACCTGCATGAAAGGAAATAACAGTCTGTATCTGCAGGTGGCAGTAGTCTGCATTCATCATTCAAAACGGGAAACCGAAACTAGGACTGAGGATCTACAAACTGTAAACAAAGCAGCGTTTGATTACAATTTAAATAACAATCATATTGATCACTTTCTTCATTCCAGACGGTCACGTCGTTATGAACATATTTGCGTATTGCAATGCTCAGGTAAATTGACGTAAAATTAGAACAGGTCCTCTTTACTTCATCATTTCCTCGCTAAGCTGAAGCCATTCAAAGTGAGTGAACATGCTAAATCGGCCAAAAAGCTGCCAACTAGTGCTGACAGTATGGAACAAACCACAAAAACTGAGCTGACAGATGCTCAAGGATGGCCCGATGTTTGTCAAAGCCCGACTGCCAGTTTGGTGTGTGGCCTTTAATGTGGCATGATTCTGTCTGGCACAATATCAGAATAGTGT